GCAGGAAGCAAAATGTCTTGCAAATTGCAATGCACATTTCTCCAAGCCCCTGCAGAGATTTCACTTTCCAGTGGTCTCCTCTACACATTACTATTCAGAAGTCAATGTGTTTGTGTGTGTGTGCACATTCATATGTGTAGGAGGGAGAGAAAAAGAGAGCAGGAACAGGGCGATGGGAGGGCTGAGAGAGAGAAGGAAAGGCTATAATGAGCTGTAGGGGGCATTGGGAAAACTGAATGGAAGGTTCCAAATGAAGCTAAAAATGATTTCAAAAGGTCATCTGTCCCCTTACTTTTGTTCTCACTTAAATTGACGGCTCAGATACAAGTTGGTCTGAGTCCAAATCATTGTGACAAACCCATCCTATTCTTCCATGAAATGGAGATCACACTGCAAACAGCAGCAAAAGCTCAACCAGCCTCTTACCTCCATTTCCCCGGGATATATCCGGATCAATGCCATCAGCACTGGAGTGACTAGGGTAAAACGACTATTCAGTTCTGTGCTTGTCCTTTCATAGCATCTGATGAAAGGCGCTCGCCAAACACTTCTGCTCTACCTATATCTTATTTAGCTAGTCTGTAAGATGCATCTGCCTTCTGCCTGACTTCAGCTTAACATGGCTAACTATCTCTCCCAGCAGGCTACTGGTCCAATTATGCAAATAATTTACAATGGGCACAATTCTTTTCTCACTTACACAAGCTTCACTCAAGTGTGAATCTGCTGGTGTCAGTGCAGTTACTCCTGCTCTACTTCCAAGTGAGGTAAGAATCAGGCCCTTCAGCATGTGCAGCTGAACACTTAGTTCTGGGAGCTCTGTATAGCAGGCGCTCTTTGCATAGAGTGCTTTGCTCTTGACTCTTCCAACCATGGCTACAAGGTCACTGAATTATCTTAAAGTGCTTGTTTTACTGTGGAAAACATGCTTCAGCTCTTATCGTGACACTGATCTTAAGCAAGCACAATCAGTGCTGCCTCAACAAGGAGATTAAATAACAGACACACACACATGATAGGGAGGGGAGAGAAGTAAAACAACAAAGCAAAGGGTTCGAGGGAGATTTCAGTCCAGGGTCTTCTTTATAAGAATCAAAAGAGTTAATACAAGCTCAGCAGGAGACTGAAAATTAATGCAAGCACTCCTACGGTCTTGTGTGCCCTAACGTGTCACAGCGGCCAGCTTGGCTTGCTGGATAAATACACTTTAGAGGACTGATTAACTGGGTGTCTTGCAGACCCTTCCCCTAGAACTTTCCAGCCAATCTGACCTCTGTGGCTGGATCAGGGGAAAAGGATCTGGATTTTTAAAATGCTCCCATGCACAGCTGGTGTAGCATTTGCTTCTCAGCAGATATACTGCAGGTGTTTGTTCTTTTGATAACCTGGAAAGAGTTGTAGCTGTTTAATTAGTTTAGCTAAGGTTGCTGTACATGGGGCTCTGTTCTCAGACCTTCGCTCCGCAAGCAGCTCTGCTGAAATCAATGGAAAATTTAGAAAGGATTAGTCCCCTAGTTAGCAGCTATTCCAATGGGGCAAAACTAGAACCAGATACTGAATCAAAATGTACACGAACTCCGAGGAATTGCAGATCCAGATGTGAGCTCAGCGAAGGCCTCGTCCCCATGTGGTTGCTCAGCTCAGACAAGACAACCCCTGGTTTTCAGGCACCAAAGTTGTGGGGGAACCGAGTGTGGAAAAGACTTGGTGAAATGTCCCTGACAGAGCTCAGTAAGTTCTGCCTTCATTATGCTCACTCTGTACCTTACCTGAGGAGCATGTGCTTGGTAAACAGTGATATTAGTAAGTCCAGTGTCTTTGTTGTGTCCCATGTAGTCAATCTATTCTGCCTGCCACAGACAGTGGTACCCACTGCATTCATACTGCTCCACTGGCACCCTCTTCTCCACCTCAGTGAGTTCAAGTGTGTCCTTACCCCCCAGACTCTGAGTAAGGTCCCCTCTGTACATCTCTGCCCTACAACAAACTAGGATCTTTAGTAAAATAAAACCCAAGGGCCTCTAAAATGGTAGCATCTCATCAGGGATAACTACCCACAGGATTAAGGGTTTGTTTCTGCAAAAACAAACTCACAGAGTTTGGTTTCAGGACACAGGGCCCAAGAGCATGAGGGCAGGAGCTTTGTCTTGTTAACAATGCTGTCATTCAATCAATGGCCCACAAGCCCTGCAAGGCTGCTGCAGAGCAATCCGGACACTGATTCCCTTTTTCCCTGTCAAATTGCATGGGCATACTGGAGAAGGGATAAGAACAAATGCTAGGCCTTGAGAGAGTGGAAGAGAAGCAGATACCAGGACACTGTGGGAACCAGTTCCCAAAATACCCACCAAAAGGAAAACAGAAAAGCTCCCAGTGGCTTCCCAGATGTGGTTTGGCAGAGACACCTGCAGTACCCTGTGCCAGCTTCTACCCCAGCCACAGAAAACACAAGTATCCCCTCTTTGCAAACCAATAGCTCGTCTCTTTATGTCAAGGTACGAGCAGCTACTCTTAGGTCAAAGAACACAACCTTGTGTTTGTCAGCAAAGCTGCACGCTCCAGCTGGACGTTTCTTATTATAAAAATCAATCCAGTAACATTAAATGGTGTCTAAAAAGCCTTCCATGAATTCAAGTATTTCCTCTGGATTTAACAAGAGGTTCCTGTGTACAGGCAGAGCTTGATTATTAAATAATTACGGATTAATTAATTCATATTTGTGGGTTCTCAGTCATCCCCTCTACTGTCCCTCACAATCATATAGCTCCTCTCTTTAGACTGACAATCTGCAGATCCTGGCCCTAACTAAAATCTTAGCTTGTGCCCCTGACATCTTGTGAACGTTTAACCATAAGCTCAAACTCCATGTGGCTGCAGCAGAGCTCCAAAACCCACCACGACCACCAAGCCTTCCCTGTCATTTATCTTCTCCATCACTGGATAATAGCTTCTTCCTCCTTGTATTCAGGCCCTTCACCTGGTTCATCAGATTTGACTCAGATCCCTCTAGGTCCTCAATTCCAGGTTATGTTTTAGCCTTGTTTAACAACCCAAAGATACAGGCTTTCCTATGCACTGACACAGCAAAATGTCTCATCCAGGACCTTCTCATCTGTTTTCTGGATTATTGCAAGTTCTCTCCAGCCCTGGTCAAGGCAGTCTTGCCCTACTCATGCCCATTCAGAATGCTGCTGCTAAGATCATTCTCCACCTGTTGCTTTGACCATCTCACCCTGCTGTATGAATCCCTCCATTACTATCCTTTTTTGCATCAAATGTAAACTATTTGTCTTCACTTGCAAGGCACATAGATCAGGAAAATGTGTTTGAATGGGTATTTGCCTGCAGGCTGCAGCCTGACTGGCATGTTGGCTTGTAGTAATTGTGCATTCACATGCTGGCATACATTGGCACATGCATCTTTAATGATTTGTCTTATTTAAACTGAGATGTACACCTAGAAAATATCAATCACCCACTAGCTCTAAATGGCTCCGTCAGCACTGGCTGTAAGCTCAAGAGATGCAAGCTCAAGAGACATCCAAATCCTCAGGATCCTTACCCAGCTTCTCATCTGTCCCTTCCAGGGCCAGTCTCCCATGGACCCCAGAAGGATTCTGGTCTGAGTACAGGCTGAGGTTACAGGCACACAAGTCAGGTACTGTGTGAATTGACGCACCACCGGGTGCTGTCTGCAGTTGCAGACAGAAAAGACAATTTCTGCTCAGTCTGGCCCCGAAAGTGCTCTACAGCCATGACCTAACACAAGTGCACTGTAGCAGAGTGCTTTAAAAGGGCTCAATCCCATGTAAATCTGAACCCTCATGGTATTATGGGGGGGCTCCAATTCACCCACCACACCTGGGTAACCCCCAAAAGGAGCTCCCTCCACTCCTTTTCCCCCTTCCCATTCTGAAAACAGCATCAGGGCTGGGAGAGGACAGGTGTTGCTAGGGGAGAGTGGCGGCAGGCTGCAACCGCTCTAAACAGCAGCTTGATTCTCCAACCCCTGAGACCCACCAGTGAATGTCTGTTAGGTCCAGGGGATCATTGCAACTCATAGCACATCCTGTGAAGCGCCATGGGTTACAATAGGCAGCTGTTCTTCTGTCTGCACTGTTCATGTACACTTTTACCACCCCCCAGTAAATGCAAAGGAACTTGCCCCATTTTCACTGAGGGTCAGGCTACCTCACACTCACCTCCACACTGCAGAGTAACTGAGGTGCTGCCAGGTCAAGCCCTAAGCTACCTCACATGAATTGCTCAGGGGCTCATGCCCTCAGCAAGGCCCTCGAATTTGCCCTTCTGGAGGTGACTTCCTTTGGCAGCACTGGTCTTGTCTGATTAATTTAATCCTTGGCAATTTAGGTACTGCATTCCCTTGGCAATACAAGGCTTCCAGAGGCTGAAGAAACTGTGAAGTGAAGCTGTGGTCAAGGGGTCACAGAGAAGGCTAGACCCTCCCTCGAGGAGCAAAAGCAAAATGCTCAGGCAGTAGGTGCAAAATGCTCCATGAATGATTTTTTTCTTCCCTGAAGGGTAGTAGCATAAAGCCAGGGCTCGGCGTTCCCCTCCCATGTGCATTCAGCCACACAAAATTTAGGCTTTGTAATGTACAGGGCCAGCATCTGCCCTTCTTCCCAGCAAGGTGAGAATCGGATCCCATGCGAGCCAGAAGAATGACTCGGGAGTTACACCTGTGCGAGCAGAAGCAGAGCGCGGCCCACGGCAGGGAACTGGCCTCTGGGTGGAGGGACATGCACAAACTGAATCCTAATCCAATTTAGCTTATCTCTGGATTCCTTTTGTGACCATGTAAGATTGTCATTCGCTGTAACCCCAGGATATGTTCTGTGGGACACTGTGATTGTGCACAAACACAGGCAAGATTATGAACATGATGTAATGGTTTGTTATTTTGGAAATGACTTGCATCTCATATTGGGTGCTGAGACGTGCTGTGTATCCCCAACTGAGGGGTTATTTTTAGAATAGCAGGCTGTCTGTCTCTGTGTCTGTCTATGCTATTTCTAAGCATCCAACACTGAACCACACAGTCCTCTCTCAGGAAATAAATGTTGGAGGTGGGGTGTAAAAATGGAAAAGGGTCTTCAGGACCGGACCCTCCAGAGAGACAGAAGAAGGGAAAGGCTGTGTGGAGGCATGGTAGTCCATTCCCCCTTCCAGTGCAGGATTATTCTCTGCAAGATACTTGCTAGCGCTTTTGTTGTTTAGTTTTTAATCCAGATAAATTACTACTGCGAAGGTGTTGAATGCCCTCACCTTCCAGTTTTTGTTCATATGGTTCTTTGGCGAATCACTGTTGTTTGTTCCAATAGCGGTGTTTGTTCAGGAAAAAAAGGCATTTATTCATGAGCATAATGAACTTCACCATCAATCTCCAGTGGAGAGAGAACCCAAGGTTTTCAGCACTGCCCTGCACTGCTTGAAATAAAAGGAATAACTCTTTTAACTGGTAGCAAGAGAAGACTCATGACGTCTGCAGAAACCAGGCACAAGCAAGTGTCTTGTGAGCAAAGGGAAGTTACTCACTGTTTGCTTTTACTTCTCCTTTTACTATTGCTTCTCACGTGTTTTCAGCACCCAATCCCACAGAACAAATAGCACATAGTCCACTGGGCCAGATTTTCAAAGGAGCTGAGCTCCCATCTAGGCAGCAAAACAAATGGCTAGATTTTCAAATAGGCACAGCATACAGCATGCTGAGCACTTTTGAAAATGCGGCCCTGGGCGACAAGTCATGAACAAAGCCAGGGCTGCGATTTTAAACTGTACTGGAATTACAAACAGCTCAGAGATCTGTAAAAATCAAAATCTCTTCACAAATGGTTCACAATCAGGAAAAAAGGTAAATCTCCCAGGAATATTATTCTCAAAGAATACTTGACCAGCTGTGACCCAACATGCACAGGAAGCCTTTCACACTGTTTTGATATAGAAAGCATTGTGTAAGATAAAGTTGCTATGTATTCATCATATCTGCCTCACTTGCTTAATGAATTCTCAGTGTTCCACCAACTTCCATACAGAGAGTTAGGATACAAAGGGATGCAGATGCACAGCAATCAGATCTCTGAGGTCAAGTCTGGAAGGTGAGAATGGAAAATCCGACAGAGAAGCAAGAGTGCATAAAGGTAACAAGCAAAGGGAATCTGAATACACTTGAAAGAGGCTCCCAACACCAGTGCCAAAGAAATATTCAATTTAAAATGTGAAAGCTTGGCTTTGGTGTACGGTAGACTGATTGCTGAAAGGCCAATTTTATTTAAATTAACTTCAATTTACATTTCAGAAGCAGGAGCATGCCGGCTGTCTGTGATCTGAAAAATGGTCTTTTTCTTCTGTAGACCAGCACTTGCCAATGTTGCTCTAGCAAGTTAGCTGCCATTTTATTAATGTACCACAACAGCCTAGTAAAAGCTAAATGAATTGTAAAGCAGCGCTACATTTATTTTATTGCTTAAGCCCAGGCATCCCAGGATACCTGGAAATAAAAGCATCGCTCCAATTCTGAATGGTAATACAGAGCCAAGAGACAAAGCCTGCTAAAATGACCAGGAAAGCTTAATACATTCCCTGGAAATACTCTCCACATGAATGACTATTTACCTTGTTATGAACCACACATTCACACACTCCTTAGAGACCCAGAGATAAGTTGAGGAAAGGTGCTGGACTGAAAGCGCAGGAAAATGAACTCTCTAGCTATGAGTGTAACACAGTGTATGCTTGCCTGCCTTTATCACACTCCTATCCCTCCTTCCTAAGCCGTTCTAGGAAGAAGAGGGCAGACTAGCCTCCATTCCAGCATCAAGTCTTACCCCTCCAGCTGCAGCTGCTAACAAAAGGTGTCAACTGGGGTGTGGGTGCCATGAGGTTTTGTAATGCTGACATGTGCCTGGGAGGGGGAATCTGAGACCACAACACCACTTTGCACAGCTCAGTGAACTGCCAACCTAGCATAAACACTTCTAGTCACTACCTGACATGACAGTGTGACCTAACACAGCAACTAGGACCTACTGGGCTCTACCCCGACTCTGCTACCAACTCTCTATGTGCCCTTGGACAAGTTACTTCACCTCAGTTTTCCCATCTGTAGAGAATACTTATTTGCCCAAGGGTAGGGGCTACAAAAGTGCTAAATCTATTGCTACTAAATGAAGACAGGTTCAGACAGGTGATTTTGACACCAGAGGTTGTATATCCCACATCCTAAAGCAGGGGTCGGCAACCTTCTAGGAACGGTGGGCCACTTCTATGATGTAGCATCTGAAAGTGAGCTGCCACTTCCAACCTGATCACCACCACTGCTCCCCCTGGCCAGCACCAACCAGTTACCAATGTCCTGGTTTCATGGGCCAGATCCAATTGCTTGGTGGGCTAAATCCATCCCACAGGCCACGGGTTGCCCACCCCGTCCTAATCCATCCAGACAGTGCTCCACAGAGATAGAACCCAAGAGCATGGCAGCATACAGAACGCCACTGCTGCTGTGCACTGACAGCTTCCCATCTACAAATCACCATGCATGACACAGAGGGGATAAGTATTATTACTTTCATTTTACACTTGGGAATCTGAGGCAAACCACGATGAAGAGACTTAGCAGCATAATGAAGGCCAAGCAGCCAGTCAGTAACAGAGACCCGTAATCCTCTCCATTTCCTAAACTGAGTTCTAAAGCCAACAGCAACCACTCCCAGCTGTCTTTCCCCCAGGAAAAGAGGAAAAAAAGCATAGATATGATGCAGCAAAGAGACAAGATCATTTCCAACAGCGAAATGTGATGTTCCTTACCTTTACATGTAGAGCATCCTCACACTCGGAGGAATTGGAAACGCAGGTGTATCTCCTGGAGCACCAGTGGCACTTCCATTTAGTCGAGAGACAGTTGGTACACCTGGAATACACAAGATCATCTTTACCTTTTAAAGACTGTGCAGATTTTGGTCCTTAGGTGTCAGTGTCAGGTTATAGCTTCACATGCACTTGTCAACACTATGTTGTGTTTTTTATGGTCTGTAGGACAAATCCATTCACTGAAAATCAGCACTGTCCTTTATCTATGAGGACTACAGAGCCACAGAAGGTCCTGCTGAGGCTCAAACCCCAGCACTAGGAACCAGGGACCAAGCACCAGCTCAGCCCTTCACCAGGCCATAGCTCATGATGGAAGAGTGTCAAGAAAGGGGAGGAAGGCCTTCTACTGCTGGTCGCCTTCCTTGCCACTGCTTTCCATGAACAGCTGTGGCGTGGTAGAGGGCTAAGCTAGTGCTCGAGTCCCCAAGTCCCAGGGGCGGGGGTTTGGGCCTGGTTCCTAGCAATCTATTCCTCTGAGCCTGCCTCAAGGTGGGGAAAGATTTCTTTACAAACAAATAGAGATGGCAATGCCATTAAAAGAGGCCATCCCACACCCAAAAGCTCTAGGCTACAGAGAGCTCTCTTGACAGCAGATGATCTTTGATTCTTTCCCTGTTTTAACCATGTTTTTTACGCTGAATTTTTCCATTAAGTCAGGCAAAGTCAGTGCGTTAGTTTATTTGCCTCTTGCAATGACTTTGTATAGAGTAGGCATTGATGTCACAGGGCCCTTCTGCACATGCGTCAATACGTTCTGATTCAAACTCGTCAGAGTAGACTCAATTAATCGAGTCTGCTGGACTGTTCTAACCAGAACGCTCTGGTGTGCTGCAGCATCTCATGTATTCAGCATCCCCGTGATTCAAAATGGTGGCTGGGGCGTTTTAACTCAAGCTTGTCGAACGAGCTTTAGTTAATGCGTCCCTGCTGCCATTTTGAAATGGGGGATGCTGAATACACAAGACGCTGTGGGCTCTCAAGAGCTGCTCTAATTAAAATGCCCCCCAACACCTACCCCGGAGCACGTGTATAGGTGCCCACACTAACTAGGCTATGTTGCTCTACCTTTGAAAATTCACGTCAAATTCCAAGGCTCAAATCCAGGGGGTAGCCCCAATAAATTGACAACTATGTGGCTGTTCCCATGCAGCTCTAGAAATGTAGAAGATATGACTCAATCATGTCAAATGTATGGATTGTTTGTTGTCCAACTGTGTCTATGTTTAACTCTCAAAAGCTAGAGGACAAACTTATCCACCCCTGAAGGCTAGAAGAAGAGGGATGGGAGCCAAGGACAAAGACACTGCTGGTCCTAAAACTGCCTGACTCCCTGCTCTGACTCTCTTTGCTCTCCCCAGTGAGGCCTCATCCATCTTCTCAACCCTTTCTTGACACTCCCACTAAAAGGTCCCCTGCATCCAGCAGCCAAATAGCCACGTGCTGCTGGCTTAAATCACTGCAGAAAATGGCTCTGGGCTTCAAGCCCGTTTGTTTGTACCCTAGACCCTGCTTCCTGCTGTGACTCCTCCTCATACCAGGGTGGTTTCCAGCTTGAGGTCAGGAACTGGCAGAGGAATGTGTCAGAGGCAACCATGAGATGATGAGCTTTCTATGGGGAAATGCGGGGGAGAGCGGATGACAATCCACTGGCATTGGCAATCTGAAGGCATGAGTTCAGCTCTTGTATTTTCTCCTCACAGCCAGAAACCCTTCCTCTCCTCAATAAGGCATCCTCTAGACACCTCCACAAAACACTAAGATACTGCCCAGGCCCCAAGGGAGAGGACACTTCCAAGGTCTGATTCTATTATGGTGCAAAAGTTTCTATAAACTCCAGAGATTCATTTAGATAAGATTAAATTAATTTACCCCAGATCCCTCTGTGTGCACCCTTCCCATATATTAGGTGCACACGCAGATTAGACAACGAGCGCTAAAGACTTGGATATCAGCCAGCAATCTAAGAGTTAATTTAAAAAATCTTTCAAATAAAAATATTATTCGTGTTTTAAAAAAATAACAAGAAGAAGCCAAGCTATATCGAAATGTCCAGATGGCTTGAGAAGCTGCTAGGACCCTTTCTTTGTAAATCCCTGGCAAGCCACAGTCTCTATCCTGCCAAATCCTGCCCAGGATTCAAACGGTCCTGCTGGCAGGGAGACTGCTCTCACTCAATTAACCCCACGCAGCAAGGGCTCTCGGACTAGGCGCACACGCTTCTCTGAACTGTTCAATTTACTCGGTTCCCCTGGTGCAGTGGTGTTCAACCTCTGGCCTGCAGGCCGGATCCAGCACACAGAGCTATGCCATCAGGTTTATGGGGCTCCGCATGGGTCTGGAAATTTGGTGGTGGGGGAAATAGTGGCAGCATTAATGGCCTGGGGAGCAATTAATGCTGCTACAGTTCCCCTGCTGCCGAATATGAGGACCCCTGGGGAGACCTGTGGGCTGGATGACATGACCTTGTGTGCTAGACTGTGTAGGGTTGGGCTGGTGCATAGGGTTTGCACTGGATCACACCTGTGCATTGACCCGGTGAGGAATTTGGCCCATGGACCAGTCCCATGTGACTTATTGGGCTCACAAGGCAAGGGAAGTTGAGCTCCACTGCAGTCAGTGCTCAAACCCGAGGCAATGCAGAGCAACCTACTGCTTGTCAACGCCCTGCCTGGTTTCCCACCTCCAGCTCCTCCCTCCTGCTGCTTTAATTCATGTACATGGAGATCATCACTTACGCTGTCTTGGGGTAAATGTTGCCAGTTCTTTTGCAATCATAGATGGTGAAATTGGTCCAGACGATATTTTTCCCGTTGACTCGGAGTGCAGTTTCAATGATCACGTGGTCTGAAACAGGCAAGCCAAAAAATATTGGACTGCAAGTGAGGTTCTCTTCAGCACTCAGGCTTAGAGGACACAACGAGCTTCTGAGAAAACAAGCGTCCGCATCGGTGGTTGCTTTCTCTGGAGTTTCCTCTGGGCTGCCTCACAGAGTTTGAACATAACCTTCATCACCCTTTGCCATGTGACTTTAAACCCTGTGCTCTCAAATCAAGGCCTTACAACACAGCCATCCACAGTAAGAAGAAAGCTTCAAAACTTTATCAAAACATTCCAAAGCACTGTGCAAGTGTTAATTAGCAAAGTTAATTAGCGGCTTTGTCTACACTAGGTGCTAAACGGTATTTAAAAATACGTTAATTAAAACATTTCAGTTAACGTCTTTTAAACCCCAACTCATTTTCTCAGCAACGACAAATTGGTAGGAAATAATAAAAGATCCCCTTTTTTGACTAGTAACATTTGTACACTACATTCCTCTTGCCGTTTTACTTAATTGCTTAATTTTCTTGCAATCTAACGATAAATGCACCTGGGTAGAGAGTCAATTCTTATTCCTGGAGATGCGTAATAAATCAATAGATTGGATTCCAGAAATTAGTTTGGACATTGCTATAAACAAAAATACAAAGCAATAATTAACTTGTAAGCTTCCTACAGCCAGAGAGAAAAGCAATGTCTTTTCTTAAACCTGCCCTGCTATGGGTCAAGTTTTTCTGTTGTTCCTATTGAAGTCATCAATAAAAGCTCTGGTGAGTTCATTGGAGCAAGCAGGCCAATACTGAGTGCTTCTGAAAATGATGGCCCTACTTTTCAAAAGCAGTTACAAACTTTGGATGCCTCAGTTTTGGGTAGTCAGCATCAGATGCCTCAGGCCCAGTGCTGGAGCAAGGAAGTTTGGTGCCCAGGGAAAGCCTGCAGCAGCAGCCAGCTCTCGCCCTCCACACAGATCTGGAGGGCACCCCCCCATGCTTACCCAGGGGTGCACATAGAGGTGGGACCCCCCCCCCCAAACAAGCTGCTTGCTGCTCCATCTCACTCCCTGCCCCAGCTGAGCAGTGCCTCTTGGCGCCCCTTTGCTTCAGCGCCCAGGGCAGTCGCCCCGCTCACCCCTGCCTTGCTACGGTACTGATCAGGCCAGATTTGCAAAGGCAAATGGGCATCAAGAATTCTCACTAGCTTCCAGTGGGACTGTAGATGTTCAGTGTCTTGGAAGTCAGGCTCCAGCGGTCTCCAGCTGGGCACCCAATTTTGGAGGCATGCAGAACAAGAGGCCATGCCTGAAGATTTTAGTTTTAGTCTACTGGAAGGATTAGTGTGAAAATGGGATTGGAGTTCCTGAGTTGTCTCCGATCACACTTCAGCTTTGCTTCAGCAGTGTAATATGCATGTAGGAAGGATGTCAAATAGTAATGATTGTGGCAGAAGGCCATCTCTGTTTCTCTCCAAAAACTCTGCTCTGTGACAATTTGGTGAGGATGGGCCCAGCAGAGGATACACACCTTACCCTATCTCTTTAGGTAACCTGAGCTGGATATATTCCGGAGGGAGGGGGGAAACCTGCTCCCTCTGCCTACGGAACTGGCATCACATACTTGGGTGAGGGGCTTGGGCTTCCTGGGGAGCTAGGCCCTGCCAGTCTGCCCAGCAACTAGAGAGAGAGAGAGAGAGAGAGAGAGAGAGAGAGAGGAGAAGAGGGAGACAGAGAGAGAGAGAGAGAGAGAGAGAGAGAGAGAGAGAGAGAGAGAGAAGAGCTGGACCATCTGAAACTTGCTCTCTCCCTCAGAACTCATGATCAAGGAGCTGCCTGCCTCCAGAGGGAATCTCCACCTGCCTCTGGATGATACTTGTGAGTAAGCTACATGAGATCTAACTAGATATATAGCTTGCAGTAACTCAGATGCGTGATCAAAGGCTACCCAGCCATGCCAGTTTGCTCTATGGGATTTCTCTGATATTGCTCTACCCTGTACCCTATTCCAACCCTACCCTTTGTAACCAACAAAGTTCTCCTTTGTACCTAGTGTGGGAGACTTATTGGGAGCGGGTCTAGATTATACCTTGGGATCCCCTTGGTTCAGCTGACTAAGGGAGACCACTACTTGTGCTTCCAACTGGGGGAAGCACCCCCAAGTGCTTGAAGTGAGTCAAGTACCCTCGAGGGCTACTAGGCCTGTGTTTCCTAGGGTGCGCAGAGACAGAAACAAGCTCATCCCTGGGTGGTGGCAGTGTTACCCCCCAGGCTACCGGGTGTGCTCCAGGAAGGGGGTCAGCCAGGAATGAAGCGCCCCCAGGGAAGCACTCAGAGCCTGGAAGGTGGTCAGGCACAGTGAGGTGGGTGGCTCAACGCAGGAGCTCCCCCCCTCCCACTGGCCCACCACAATGATTACAACTGAAAACATAAGGAATGGTTTGGGGGTTTTTTTTGTGGACTCAGGCCTGTAGATTTATGAACCTTTTAATAGAAAACTAAAAAAAAAAGAGAGTATTTTATACAAGCAGCACTTGGCAACTCTTAATAACTACCTGAATTGGCTTTTACATTTCATCAGTTAAAAAGATGTTTTTGAAAACACTATTAACTCGTGTTAGGATGGTGGAAAGATTTCATGAACATTCAGCAGTGATTACAGTGTGACATTTTATACACTGTAGAAACTGCTTAGCTCTTCTTTTTAAGGTTTTCTATAAATAGCATTATTTGCAAAAAAAATGACCTCTTAGCTGCTGTACCAATAAAACAAATTTAAAAATTACTTCCATAAAAGAGCGTTTGGCATCTGCTAAAAGTTAGTGCTTTGTTACATACCTTGATTGGGTGGGAATGCTGGATATTTCTCTCTTGGAAAAAGATCACAATAAATTATATCATTTGAGGCAGCTCTGGCTACTGTGTAGATACTATTTCCATAATCACAAAACATCTCTGTTCCGTTCAGCATTGGGATACTTCCATTTAGTTGGATTATCGTGCCCTAAATTTGGATGAAAAGTTCAATTAATGCTATAGAAATGACTACAAGACTTTGATGAGGTTATTTAAGCTCCTTAAAAACTAACCAGCTCAGCAAAAAAAAAAAAAATCTACTGCACATGAGAAATTGCCATAGTAATACAAACTTTGCCACTATAGTTTCCTGTTCTTTCCATAGCAAATATATAGGGTATAATTATAGTCTGACATTAGAAATGAACCATAGGCTTTATTTATCCATATGGTTGCTCAAACACAAACACAGCTAAGCGGGCATGTCGCTATATCACTCTGAACTGCTCCCCATCTAGTATATTACCTGCTCTGCCATCACATCTGGACTTTCAGGTTGGTACCAACCTGTATAATAGGCACATGCCAAGCACACCCATCTACTCCCACTGAGGAGACCACATAGTTCGTGGTCTCCCCACCACACATGAGAGATGAGTTTCTCAAGGAAGGTAAGGGAAGCAGGCAGGGCAGCTGTGCTAGCTATGCCATTCTGGCTGGAGGGCTGCTGCTTTTCCACAGGGCAATCCAAGCATATTTTTCTTGGTTCATTTTCTATTTTGAATGTTGATGCACGAGCAGCTCAAGGAACGGAAGGCTTCACGAGAGGCACTTTCCTCTTGTACCTGATCTTAAAACAAGGACTAGCTTCTTCACAAACAGAACTCCACTGCAGCAGACAATCTGGCTCTGTAAAAGGTTTTTCCTTTTTGATACCAATGAGTCTCCTGTGGTTTTTGTGGATATGGCCAAGCTCAAACCATTCTCTGAACACTTCCCCTGAGCTGTGGGGAAGCTCAGTGACAGATGCAATCTCTGAAGCACTGCACTGTCTCTAAACATCACTAGACAGAAGTGTGCTGAAGATCCAATACTGTGATGAAAATGAGATGCAGACAGCCACCCTTCAACCCCGTTGTGCCCAGGCATGGAGATGCAAAACCAGAAATTGTGCTTGAGCTTTTAATTCACTGAAAAAATAGTTTTTTGGGGGAAAGAGATACAGTTTTATAAAAAAATTTTAAACAAAGGACAGAGCCAGTGAGGACACCCTGGAAGTGCCTTAAGTTGCTGCTCTGAGCATGCTGGACACCCAAGCTTTGGGCTGGATGCTAATGGTGCTTCCATGACATTCTCACCCCTCCTGTCCAGTGCAGAGAAAGAGTTTGTGGGCAAGGTTTATTTCCTCAGCAGTACAACTGAGCACTCTGCTGATGTGCTTTAAATACCTGAAGTGACTTGAGAGTCTAAATCCTATCTTCAGAAGGGCTTTATGATTTAACAGTCCTCCTGAATGTGTGCCTGTGGGCATAAATCACTTTTGAAAACAGAATTTAGGAACTGTTAAAAACTTTGCCTCAGCCCTGCAGTGTAAATAATGCCCAGGATCCTCAACCGACCAGTCTCACAGCTAGAAGCAAAGCAGTGGGAAGTCACTGGCACCAACAAGAACATCAGATGGGACCAGCCTGGCAAAATGGTTGTGCAGCTTCCAACATGCCTAGAGCTCCTGTTCTAAACTGAGTATTTGTGAGCATATTTGTGAGGACTGAGCACAGACTATGTGCCAGGACCTACAGCATGTTATTAATTAGTGTCTACATTAGACATACCGAGTTTGTGTCATCAATATTAATTTCAGATGGCAGGATGGTCATAGAGGGACAGCGCTCCACACCCTCACTTGCAGTCGTCCAGAAATTTGACTCAGCAGAATTCATACATTCGTGCTGCAGGGAGCACCTGAAATACAGACAGACGCAATGCATGGTAGCACATCGTCAGAACAGTTAAAAAACTGCTGTGATAATGATAAACAAGATCCTAAGGTAATCTCGAGTCCTCTTCCCAGTTCTCTAACCCCTAGATTTGAGCTCTATATGTCTGGCTCTATTTAGTGGATATGATCCCCATGATATGAAAAGAGCACTCCTGTTAGCATCAATAGGAACTATGCACATCAGCTGGGAAAAGATTAGAGTGCACTGACTGAATCTGGAGCAAGAGAGAATAATAGCTGTGGGTGCATGTTTTGACAAACTAAGAAAGATGGGGCAAATGTTACAACCCTCCCATGCCTTTGCAGCTGAGCAATATTTGACTGGCTTTGTTTGAGCAAGTCTCCTAGGTATGTACCAACAGAAGACACAAGTCCTACCTGGTCTCCATTGTGCACCATCCACAATACGCATCAGCCGCAGCCAGGCACTCCGTGCAAGTTACATATTGGTTACAGACAGCCACCTTCACCCGGGTCATCTGTGCAACAGACCTTTATTATTTCCAAATACTTTAAGATGTCATCAAACAGTTAAAATTTTGGGGGTGCACTCACCTCTTGGTAAGGGCAAGGAAACCCCTTGCGAACAGTAATGAGCAGCACAAATGGCAGAAGCAGTCTTTTAAATTCAACTAGGCAAAGCACTGAGAAATATGCAACAGGGAGCAATTCTGCTCTGCTGGGGTCATGGGCAAACTCTTGCACTACTTTGTTCCACGGTGCTGTGAATAACAGGAGCTCTGTCTAGAAAGACCTTTGTCCCTTGTGATCTCATTTTTGGGGACAACAGCAAGACGGGACATTACAGCAATTGTGGTTTGATGGTTTAGAGGAGACATTTTTTACTGTTATTTCATCTTATATCTCTTGGTTACCAATGTGAAAAGCTCAGTTTTCATACTTGTAGAGCCCTTCCTAGACAGCACTGAGCAATGTTTGCATATTTACAAAGTGACCAGAATTTTCCTGGGAATGCAAAAGATCCGTTTGTCAGGCCATACAATCTCTGTATGTGCAAAACTGTTAGAGGAACCTCTGCTGACTTGTTCTGGAAGAGCCATTTGCTCTGTCTCAGAGCAGAGGAATGAATTTGCCTATCTGCTTTCTCTCCTGGATTCAAACCCCTCGGGTAGGGAAGGATGTGTGTAATGTGTTAATTTAGGGGCTGACATGGCAAGGTGCTGAGAGCGCTCAGACTCAGAAATCACTGAGCACCCAACACAAGTGGTCACTCAGGCCAGCACCTCCTCTCATTATCCTCTGTGGTTTCCTGCCCTCACATATGTGGTATGCAGCCTCCTCCACACACACACACTAAGTTTCTCAACATGTAAATTCTGCTGGAAAAGCAAACGGACCTGGCCTAACGGAAAGGAAAGGCTCAAGCTAGACAATCTGAGGTCCTGCCCTGGGGGTTTTAGCTGGCCCAGGATAAAGGCCCACAGCATGCATCTACGTGTGCTGGGAAGTGCTTATGAAATGTGGGAAGGGTCTGAGGTCTTAGCTAAATAGGAACTCTGGGAAAGTTGTGTCAAATGATAATGACCAATCTCCTGGGAATTAGGGCAGGAAAATATCACTCTGAGGTATAAAAGTAGTGGTTGTGCATCTGTTTCATCAGATAAAAATGTGATTTGGGGCAGGATGGCAGCAAGCACTGAACTCCGTTCCCCCTCAGCCAGTCACATGACTGATGGCAAACGCAGACCTCGTGCTTGTAGCTGCTGGGAATTATTTACTATTCTTCAAAGAAATAGCTTTCCTCCTCCAGCTCAGCGTGTAGCATGGTCAGTCCTGTGAAACCTGCTCTCAGAATCGGCTCCTCTCAACCCCGAGGAAACACTTTACTCCAAGTGACCTGTTACAAGCATCCTTAAAGTTTCTAATCAAGGTTTGTTCACTTTCTGTCAAAGATCAGTATCTACTTAGTTCTGCCTGTCTCACAGGTGATTGCTTAAAGTATGTTCCCCAGCATATTATATCTTTACCTGTACAGGAAGGGGTGAATAAATTTGTAACAGGAAACACAAACCCTTGCCCCAAACTCCAGTGAATTATTCGGGTTCAAGAGTTTGGTGAACTTTTATTCATTTTTATTCGAAATGGGGCTGGCATGAATCATAACTCAACCCCCCTGAAACCTGAGAAAGTTCAGACCCACAACTAAATTTTGCTCTTGGATCTGGTCTCCATAACAAGCTGAAACAAAACCTGGAGAACGGAACATTTCCCAAATTTTATAGTCCTTGGATCTGCACTTTGAAGCTCAGACTTCTCAATAAATTTTCAGGGTTTGTTCAGAATTCCCAGGTTTTGTTCAGTTTCTGTATTTCCAAGTTCTGTCCAGATTGAAACACGAGTACAAGATCATTAGACTGTGCTCAGATTATTTCTAGCCTGGCCAACAGGGAACGGCACCACAAATCTCACAAAGAAGTCTTCTCCTGTGTTACTTCTAGCCCATACATGCAAACCTGAAGGCAGAGGTAATTTTGGAAAGGTTTGCATCATACTTTGAAGGGATTCCTGATCTGTACCAAATTTCTAAGCCAGCCGAAATTCTTCCAGTCAGGACCTCACATACAGACCATATCCATAAAGTAGCATGCGTTTGTTTTCCCATAGTTAACAGGAAACTTTACTATCCCTCCGCTGTTCTGCATTACTATTGCTGTGCCCAGAGGGATAGCCAAACTGGGGCAGCTTACTCCTAAATGACACACACCTAAATCACCTAATTTAGTTTTAACTTACTACAGGATAATGCACAGGGACAGTTACCACAAAACACTTAAGGCACAGTATCTTTGTGCCTGCACATGCAGGGAAACTGCAGACTTAGAGGAATTAGGTTCCCTGGGGGCTCATCAGCTGCCCCAACTGGGGTCCTGATCCCTAATCCGGAAGCTGCTGGGTTAAATGTTTTCCAAGCTCGCCCATCGCCGATGCTAAGAGAACATCAGCTAATGCTGGCTGTAAAGTCAAACAGACATTGCCAAATGCCTAATTTACCTGGAAAATATGAGTCTTACCTGATAGGATGTCATGAGATAGAGGTAGCTGGAATCGGAAGGATCGAACTGCATGATGGGATGGACAGGCTCCCCATAGGCCACTGAAATTGACTTCCTGCTCACAACCTTCATGGCTTCATTCAGGTTGATCTAAAACAAGACATGATTCATTGCGATCATTTTCCAGCGTTAGAGGGGAGATGAGGGTGAAATGGGAACTAGCAAGGCTTTACATTTCCACAGCATCTTTAATCCCAAAGTGCTTGTAAACTGCACACACACAGCTTCCCTGGAATACAGGGATCTCCAGGGTGGAGGGAAGCAACTCCCTAGCACACAGAACATACAGGAGGGGAAGAGAAGTACTGCCAGGGGTGAGCAAATCCCATCTCCTGTAAGGACTTCCTGATCTCCAGCTAATGCCTCACAACCAAGGTTACTGTTTAGTAAACTTTCTTCAGTGGAAGGAAGAAGATCCTGCCACTATAATGACCTGCAGCCCTTGATTCTGATCTCAGACTGGGAGATCCCTCACTACAGCAAAATTACCCCTGAAGAACCCCAGTGCCAGTGAAACCAAAACTAGCCCCTCATCATAGATACAGGGACATTTTTATTATTATTATTATTATTATTATTATTATTAAAAAGTATTTTACTTGCAAATCTTTATCCAAACAGAGAAGGTCAGTGAAGTGTCTGCATAAAAGGGGATCTTCTGCTCCCCGTGTGAGTCATGTGTGCACACATTCCCGACCGAAAGAATCTTAGCTCAAGTGAACCATGACAGCTATGGGAAAGTGAACTGGAGTGTACTCTGTCTCACGAACCCCAGCTAAACTGTGGGGAATGATGGAAGAGACAGATGTGCATCAGACAATCTTTCTCGTCCCAGCAGGTTAAACGAGGAGTCGTGGAGAGGAAATAACAGAGGGGCTATGCAGCTTCATGGGATGGCTATTGTTGGTCCACAATCACACAGGAGGCAGGGGAGTTCCTGCTTTACTCCTTGCAAAGTAAGTGTGCTCACAATGAGGACTAAGTATGCTCCCTTCCTGGGGTCTGGCTTCATTGAAAACTCAAAACAATGAAACCAAACATGAGCGTTATTAATTCATATTATTTGTGTTCCAGCAGCAGCCAGAGGTCCACTTGACACCAACATCCCTTTGTGCTAGGTCATGTACATATTTACGTGACAACTTATTACCGGAATAAGTTAAAACAAAGTGTAGGACAAGGGAAATGCTGCTACTGTCATTTTATGAGGGACTAATGGACTTGCCAGAGGTCACTCAAGAAGTCTGGGAATGATCTCCTGACTCTTAGCTCAGTGCTTTAGCTATAAAAACAGCATTTTCTTCTTCTAGCAAAGTTTTCTTTCCCAGCTTTAGCTGTTCCTAAGGGGTTTTACCCTGCAGGGGCCTCCATTCCTAGGTTCCTGTGCCTCACTGCCCTTGTCTGCAGTAGATTTTTTGCCCTCACAACATTTCTATGATTGCTCCACAATGGCTGAGCCCAGCCAGCAATTGGACTCCCAGTTCAGACAAGGCATCAGAGCTGTCAACACTGTTGCCAAGGTAGAAGACTCAGAGCAGAGCTGGATAACACACAGGTGGCCACTAATCTACGCAGTGTAACATTTGCACCACTGCAGGTGCATGATGTTACTGTGTATATGAGTTTGAATAGGCCTACCAAACCAATGGGTAGGACGCCATTCAGCACAGTATTGCACTTTCTGAACTGCACCTTTTCCACAGAGCTCTGGATGTCATCGATGCAGTAGTCACGGGATCTTCTGACTCTCCATTTAAATCTATTGCATCATAATAGAGTATAACTTTCTCCAAGCACTCGTTACTTGCTCTACGTCTATAGATTGTGGCTTTGTACAATAAGAAATCATCGAATTTTCTGAAGTACCTACACATTTGTTCTTTGTCTCTCTCTCTTATAAAAAGACCTGTAACAGTCTTCAGAAGAACCAAAGCGCGAAGGAATGAATCTTTTCTCTTTAGTTTCCAGTACTCAGCAGCATGAGCTGCAAGCAAAAACATTGCCAATCTCAAAAATCATAAGTTAAAGTTTATGGAGACATTATGATCTTCCCAAATTGGGTTCTTGTTCTGCAAACAGTCAACCTCTATCTGATGCTTTCATCACTGCTTTCTTTATTATTTACCATAGATTCCAGATAATCAAAACTTGACATCTTTTCAATAGCTTCTTCATCAATAATTCCTTTGTTATTTGGGTCATGTATCTCATTAATCATTATAATCGTTGTCTTCCTACCATGCAGTACTAAACCTTTCCTGACTGATTTTTTTTTTTAGTTTGCTTAATATTCTTTGTTATTCTGCATTTCCACAAATGACTGAAGTATCATCTGCAGACCATATGATGGTTATATGACAGCCTGCAAATTCAATTCTTCAACAAAATCTTATGGTCCTTCTCTTATTACTGACGTAGTATGCATGTTGAAAAGTTGAGGAGACAGCATGCATCCTTGGCAACCACCACAGCTAGTCTTAAACCTTCTTGCCAAACCCACTGATGTTTTCACTGGTGCTGGCTGGCCAATATACAGCGTTATTATCAGTTCCACAATGTACTTAGGAAATCCCATTTCACACATCACTTTCTGACAGTATTTCATGATCAACACAGTCAAAGGCTTCTGCATAATTGACAAAACAGACACGAAAAAGTGATCCTCTATTCAGGATGTTGTTCAATATCTGTAAGCTGTTGATTTGGTTCTTTGTTCCTCTACCTTTTCTGAAACCAGGCTTTCTGATGCTGCTTTCTCTTCCATTTTCTTGGAGAGTTTACTTTTAATAACATTAAGATGTTCTTTGTGTGGCTTATAAGGTGATGGTTCGATCATTCTTGCACTTTCATAAGTCAACGTTTGCAGGGACTGGCATGAACACAGAGCCGTTTCAATCTCAAAGTCAGGCTTTAGAGCTCCACACCTTTCTATGCAGCCTCCATCAAAACTCTATACCACCTTTTCTCATCTTCCAGCTTCCCCGAGTGCTGCTGGTATATAATCAACACCAGGTGGCTTCCCATCCTTAATTTGCCAAAGCACATCTTGCATCTCTTCTTCAAGGGGTGGGGGCTCCAGTAATCAGCTGCTTCCTTTCTCTTGGGCCTTGTTGTTCGTTCTAATTCCAGCACACAACGTTCTGCAGCAGTCTGCCCGTCTTCCTTTTATATCTTCACTTTCAATCAATGGGAGACCACATCACTTTTTTATGATGGACAGGGGCCCTTTCTTTTCCCCTGTTAGCTCTTACACAGTATTGCAAGTATACTTCAGCTTATTCTTGAGGGTTATTTTTTTATTGTTCCGCATCTCTATTCAATGCATGATGATTTATCCCACTATAAAGTCTTTCTCCTCTCTTTAACAACCCACAAGCTATTAGATTCCCTAGACTATCTAGTCCTTTGGCTTTGGCCTTTCTGTGTTCTTCCACTAGATTTTCTGCTATTCACAGTGGCTCCTGCTTTATTTGTTCCGGGTATGTCTTTCAGCTAGATTCTTCAATACCTGTGTTATGTCCTACCAACACTCAAAGACGTGTTGTTCATCTCCCATTTATAACAATTCTTGAAGCCTTTTTTGTTATCTCAGCTAAGCAATAGAGCAACATTTTAGGGGGGAAAGGGTGGAGTACACATAGTCAGAAAAATTTCTTACACTCCCAGCTTGGAGATAGTTGGAGCTAACCTGGCTTACCCTCAGAAAAATTCCACCAAAATACCTCTTAACTTTTGGGTTTTCATGCCTGGCATCAGGATGAATCAGCATAAAACTCAATGCTCCTGTGGTGGGTGCTAGACTCTGTCATACTTTTCCATTACACTACAAGCTTAGCTGTTTTACTAGTCTTGTTTTCTCCCCTAATGACTCTATTGAATGTGGCACAGATAATGGTCCCCGTGAAGTGCCCTTCTGCAGACTGTTTGATTAATTCCCCATACGACTGGCAGTCCTAATTGCTGCTAGGAGAGCCGGTCAAGCACCACTTCTGCCCGTTTGCTGTCTTTTCTTGGACAGCAAATCTGAATGATAACTCGCAAAGTATCTTGTATCCCAGGCTAAATAACAAGGAGCCCTGAAGGTAAAAAGGCTTCTGGTTATGCAGCTGTGCTGTAGAATTAGATTAGAGCTATCTGAGCAAATTATCCTAGTAAAGAATAGCCAGGAGCCTCCCTCTAATGGAGACTCAGCAGATAAGGCTCCTTTTTCTGATATGATAATGGAAGCAGAGCTGTTAATACTGTGTGAACAGGAGCTGCGCTGCGTGTGGTATGTGTTTCCCTCTAGGCCCTGTGCACCTGGCCATGATGTCAGCTTCCTACTGCCCTGTTGTATTACCTGCCCCTCTAGGCAGAAACCAGAGTTTTTCTGTGATATTTTCCCACTTTTCTGCCAGGAGCACTTGGAAGCAATGAGAGAAATTGGATTGGTTTTCTTTCCTCCATGCATTTTGATCCAATATTCCCCATTAGGTACTAGTATCTCCAGGCTGAGATAAAGCAGATTCCAGCCTCATCTCTCCTCCAGGGTCTCTTTCTCCTCTATGAACTTACTGATGCAGGGATTATACCAAATTGCTGTGACTGGTTGGAATTTAAACTTTCCTTTGACAAACCCCAAACACTGAGGTCACTGAAATGCTGGCCCTGCATCTTGGCTCTTGATCAAGGCTATTGCGTTGCTGTACATTGCCTTGGGTATATGGCTTGAAATAGAGCAATTAGGTATATTATATGCTTGGATTCACACCTGCTGTGGAGTTTAGCATTGGAAAGGTGCCCCTCAGTGAGTCTTCTGTCTACACAGATCTTTTATGTACCATCAAAGCAAGTGGAGATCTTATTAGAGGGCACTGCTAATAATTAAATGCTGTACAATAACATTTCAAGTGCAGGCTTTTAATAAATACCTCCCAATCATACTGTAGACTTAAATACCGATTAACAGATAGCAATTACCAGACAATGTACATCATCACATATAGATTAAAGCAGCAGCCAATTACTTCTTTTTTGTCAAATGAAAACATGTGCTCAGAGTGAGCTTTGTCAAGTGATGTCTACTGCAGTGAGTACAGTTCAGAATAAATGTGGTGTACTGAAATTCCCGAATACAGAGCTCCTTATACACAATGCAAGATGCAGCATGGGTAGTAAATCACCCTGCCCAGCCAATGGGTCTCAGCCTCAAATGGGAAGAGACACATCTAAGGGTAATATAGTTTTCTCCTTGCTGAGGAGGCCAACAAGGGCACTGACTATGATAGGGAGCTGTGCACATCACTTTTTTTGTGGGTAACTGAGCCATAGATGGACCATTATTCCTTACAGACTGTCAAACAGCTTTCAAATAATCACAGAAATAATGCTAGTGCCTTTCAGCCGGGGATCTCAAAGCAACCTGGCCACATTGCCTGAGCCTCACAGCCACCTCTGCAGGAGAACATAGATTCATAGATGCTAGGGTTGGATGGGACCTCAATGGACCATCGAGTCTGACCCCCTGGCAGTATTTAACATAGCAGTTGTTTAACAGTGTACAGCACTACTACAAAATGTGTTTATGACAGAAGCAAATGCTCTGCTATCCAGAAGCAAAACCTGAAACTGCAGGGGGAATTTCAGGGACAAGAAGGAAAGTACCAGAGTAGGCTTTTAACCAGGATGCAAGTAGGGACAATTCCATTCTCATAAAAAGTCTCTTAAGATCTTTAATACCCACATCTGTTTGGGACCTCTGTTTATGCAGCATAGGAAAGATGACAACTCTAGCAGTGCAGTGCCCTTTAACGTTATACTGGGACTGAACCACTAAAACCACTTCCTGCTGCCTCCAGGAGCAGTTTGGCAACCTCCTGTCCAAGAGCTGAGCCAGCCGGACCTACCAAGCTCGTGAGGTCAGAGAACACAACTGCGTACAAGGGCCTGGCAACAATATTCAGATAGTGTCATCCAATAGATCTGTGTGACACAGCCATATAGAAACAAGCCATATAGGCAAAAGGCACCATATTACAGTGCCAGCCCCTCAGTCTTTAATTCCCCCAAGCATGGGTGCCAAGTACATAGGGGCCTGAGGGCCCTGGACCCCCTCGGGAAGAGGGATGTCACTTGAAAGGCGTAAAACTTTTCACATGTCCATCATCTTAAGCCTGCCAGTTCCCAACCAAAATAAAAGCCAGTGCCTATGCCCCCAAGTCCTTAATTCTTATCTCTTGAGTAACGAGCTACTTTTACCTTCAGGAGTCCTCCATTTGCTGTGCCCAGAAACACAACGGTGTAGTTATTGACGCTGGCAACTGCCACTGAAGTGAGGCCATGGTACTTGAACACTGGTGTTGCCTTTAAGGGTTGCAGGATGGCCAGAGGGTGCTGGAGGTGGGCTGCTCCACAGTCTAACTGTTCTGGCTGCAGCTGCAAAGAAACAGTCGTGTCAAAGAGTCGTAGCAAAATAAAACAGTTCACACCGGGAATATTCTTTTTGGCTCAGGTTAAACAGTCTACCCTGGGCTCCATGCTGTATATGGGGAAACCTTAGCACTAAACATTAAACAGAAAAATATAAATGAGTGGTTACAATTGGGAAAATAGCTATAATAGTGACACCTTATTTATCAGATCTGCTCTCTGGGGCACAAATTCAGACCACAAAGGCCAAGCAAATGGATTTCATTTAGCATGACCTGTGGGAACAGAATCCTTCTGCTCATGACACAGGGTATCAACAGAGCAGCTTGCCTGCAGCTCCCTTGCAGACCCCAGTGTGAGGGATTTGGGGAGCGTATGTGTACAGTAATAGATCCAGGCAACACAGCCATATACCTTAACAGACTCTGCAACCAGCTGTGGTAATGGAGCAGAGGGGCCCAATGACACACACAAAAGGGGAGACCCTTGTTTAGCCTTCTGCATTACTGGAAGGCCAGTTCCACTGTCTTTGAAAACTTCCCCAGGATTTGTCCCTGTGGATCATTTCTGCAGACTTTACTACCAAACCCAGACCCTGGGCTCCTCCTGCTAAAGACAACGGTAACATTTCAATTTGCATCGCTGGTAACAGCAGTGGAGTCCATGTTTTCACTGTGAAACATAAATGAGAGGGATCTGGATGCTGTTCATGCATCATCAGATTTATCAGCTAATTTCCAATTAAAAAACAGGAGACGTCTGGCTGGATTTTCACAATCCTGGTGGAGTTTGTGGAGTTGGGCAGGTAGAAAACTCACGCTGACTTGTTAGTGAGGCAAATGTGAACAGGGAAGTCCCAGATCAAGAAAAACTCAAGGGGCCCAATCAGGTCAGTTTTAGAATGACTTTTTAATGATTTTTGTCAGATTTGAATGTGTTGCAAGTGAGTTTTCCTCAGTGCTGAGGGTCTCTCTCTCAAACAGGTCATTTTTATTGCTTGTAAGCACTACAATTTGCTAATGCATGCCGACTTATGTAGTTGCAGCCCGTTATAAAGTACAGTTTTGGGGGTTTAACACTGTGGAACGAGCAGTGTCTCACTGGGCTGGAAACTGCTTGGACCCTAAATGCAATATTTTTCTTTGTATCCCCTAATCGTAAAAGGCTAAATGAAAATCTTCAAACAGAGATCTGAAATACCATCTTCCTGTAGGATCCCACCTGCAGGTGTGCAAAGTGGTCAGGAGGGGGAAAGACCCACCTATACAACCTTTGCTGAGGTTCTAAGGATTGTAAATTTAGGGCCTGATCTTGCTCCTGCTAAAGTCAAATAGCAACGCTTTGTCTGACTTAACTGAGCCAGATCCAGATAAAAATCAGTGAATTAAACATAGCCACAGCTGAGCCATCCATGGTGTAAGTTACTGTTCACAGACAGCAGGACTGGACTACTGGAAATGAAAAGCAGCAGGCCACTGGAGCAACCAAGTAGATGTGACCAGCGGGACAACAGATTTTAATTCTTCAGGGTGCTGAGGATCCTGGAGCAGCCCCAGGGCATACTAAAACTCTGGGCTAGAAATCTGTTACCATCCTACTTTCACAGAGTCAAAAGAGAACATGAGCTGACAATCGCTGGATTGAAGGGAACGATGTGCATCGGCTGTATAGCTCGTTACCCTCAACAGTCTTTACCACTCCTCTCCGTTCTGCAGTCCCACAGGCTGGAGGCTCTGCTTTAAACTGTGTATGGAGGAAATCCATCCATGTAACTTAAACACAGAACAAGTCTTACACAACTCGCCTACCTCCCATCAACCCCCACACACTGCCTAGCCAGGGTGGCTGCCTAACCACAAGATGGCAAGGAGCCCTGCGAGGAAAGGAATCTGCTATGGAGCTTCCTGACTCAGGGTTTCTCAGCCAGGGAGAGTGACAGCACAAACAATGCCGCAGAGGCACATAACTGATGCAAAAGCAGACTGGGTCACACACAGCGATGGGACAGGGCTGGGTCATAAGTTACTGTCAGACCTTGGCTTCTCTCAGGCTCCCTAAACAGCTCTGGACAGTACGACTTCGCAGCTAGCTTGGCAGCGCATCTGCATTGTGGAGGTCTGCATGGCTTGGGCAGTGACACAGTGAGGGATTGGGTGTGCAGGGCAGGCTTCGGGGAAAACAGAGCAGCAGCAACCACCACCTCTTCACAGAGAACATCGGCATGCCCCTTTCCCCTCTGCTGCCACCCTCCAGGTGCCTAAAGGAGCCAAAAGAGATTGGTACAGCACTAGCTTTGTGCTGCACTCCCAGCCAGGTCTGCTCTGCGCTGCGGATTACAGGTAGCACGAGCCTGCGACCCTCCGTCTTCAGGGAACTGGAGCACTAAGTGCCCCTAGCTCAAACAATGCAAGTCAGTCACCAGAAGGCATGCGACTCCCTTAAAAGATATGTATGTTAGGGGCTAATTTTATTTGTCTCTGGCATGAGAGCTTTCAAGCTTTTCCCCACCATTGCAAGGGGAAAAACATTTCTGTGACTGGAAACCCAAGATATCCTCAGGACAGCATGACTCAAGTCTAAGTACTGGCAATGCTGGCATGGGTTTTCAACTGCCAGAGGACGTTTCACTGCTCCTTCTTCCCGCCACTGTGCCCAGGGGAAAGAACAGCAGCCACACTAGCCCCTCCCAGTGCCTGGATTGGTACTGAGGTGGGAGGGCCGAGCTGATAATCGGTGAAATGATCACCACTGAGGTTATACTCACGGCCGACTAGGCTCCTAGTAGAGGTTAGGAGGAAGTAAAAATTCCACCTCATTGCGCTGTTTTGGGAAGCCTGGCTCAGGCAGGCAGCCTTCCTTACCTTTAGCCAAAGTGTAGAGATGGGCAAAGTGAAGTAAGGAAAGGACTGCACACATTTTGGTTTTTGCTACAAAACCAAAAACTTGGTTAACCCTGTACTGTTTTTTTGGCATGCATGGGCCCAACACCCAAGTCCCGAGTGAGTTCTGTCTCTTGAGTTCTGAGCCCAGGGATTGCCCCAAATTATAGCTCCATGTAGAAAATACGTCAAGTCAGTGATTTCACCTCCAAACACAGCTGGTGTTTTTCAGCAGAGTTTCATTTTGAGCTTTTGGTTGAACCTTATGCTCAAAACAACCCTCAAAGTGTTTCTGGGACAGAAAACCTAAAACCGCAAAGGAGGACACCAGGCCAGAGACATACCACAATCCAGGAGTTTAATCTGCCCTGCTCCCAAATCCTAAATCTCTGGAGATTTAGAGGAACAGAAACCTAGAGCCGAACTCTGGGCCTGATTTTCCTTTATTCTGTCCTTCATCTTTTCACTTACAGCAATGCAAAAAGGGTATAAAAAGCTCCCATTTTGACATGCTGACATATTCCACTCACTTTGTACAGCTGTGAATAACACCACAAGGAGAAAAGGCAAGAGACAGGAGAAAAGGCAGGAAACCATCAGCCGCCATGTGTTTCAGGGCCAACTAAAATATGACCTCTTGGGCTCACCTCTTGTCCAAGACAAAGTAGCCATAGTCACCTAGCAGCCTCCTTTATATCAACCCTGGGGGTCTCCTCTCCCACCTAGCACCAGCATGTGGAGGCCCATCTGGGCTCATACCACTTGGTCAGTTCCTCCACCACACCTCCAAGGTTTATGTCCCTTTTACCCTGACTGCCCGATGACTCCCCTTGTCATTTCTCCTCTAGCAATGTGAATGGATTCAACCAAGTTCAAATATCACAGCGCTAGCACCGTTAAAAAAATCCCTGGTGACATCTCTATAGCAGCTTTTATGAAGCGATTCACATGATTGGTGCATCTGAAGCTATTCACATGATTGGTATGTTGCTAGACCCATTACAGCATCATCTGAACTGTCATTTTCCTTGCTCATGTCAAGAGAAATAGCAATTGTACTGTCACCTCCACTGAATGTTGGTATGTGGCTACACAGTTGACATCCTAAAAAAAGGAAGGAGTGGCACAAATATTTATAGAGGTGACTTCCAGCTGTTGTACTAGTTTAAATGAGTAGGAAGTTAAGATCCTGATTCAACAAAGCATGGGAATACCCTCATTAGCTTCAATGAGGAGTTACCTACATGCCTATAATGAAGTGTATGTTTATATAAGCCACTCAATTCAGGCCTCAGTACAAATGACCCCTTCAAAACAACAAGAAGTAGTGATTCAAACAGATGAAATGCAGGAGCTGAAAAAATGCATCTTTATTTTACTATATTGTTTGGCCTAACAAGCTATAGCTCATATACTACTTTCTCTCAAGGTTCTTAATTTAGGCTATTTCCTTAGACTGTGTATTTTCTATTATAAGTGGTGTATTTCAATATCTTTCATGTTATGGTAGCGTTCAAGTGATGTTGTATCTATGATGGCCCAGGAATAATGTGAAAGGCAAAGATTTCTTAGGGTGAGAGTTTTTATTGGACCACCTGCATAGTTAGGATACATTTAGACAAGCTTTCAAATGCAAGGCATTTTTCATCAGCTCTGAGCTGTATGCTGTGCTGGCTTTTGCTGCTCAGAGCTGATGAAGAATGCCTTGTATTCAGAAGCTTGTCTAACTTTATCCACCTATGCAGCTGGTCCAATAAAGGCTATCACCCTAAGAAATCCTTGCCTCTCAGTATAATCCTATACATACACGAGCATATGCTCAGTTGAAGGAGGAAGACCAATATTACAAGTAGGCTGCTGAATGCTGTGAGTTTATCCTTATTTCATTATTAGATCTTCATTGCCAATGTAAAGAGCTGTTTGTATCTCATGGAAAATCTAGACAATTGGCCTGGAAAATGTATATTCTCTGTATTTTAATCCCTTTGTTTTTTATTTGAACAGAAGTGGACTCACATTGAAATCATGGGTTGGATTGCCCCAGACTTTGGAGTTATTCAAAGTCTCAATCCCAGTTTTGCTTCCTGTCTTACCTACCACTGCCCAGGTTGAAGTCCTGAGCCTGGCGCACACCGTGAGTACACAGACAGGCTAGCAATCTCTTCAGAACTGAGGAGGAAAAAGATCCTGTCTTCAGGGCATGGAGTGCAATTACTACCTCAGGCTCAGTCCTCCAGCAACCCTCTCAGAGAGACCAGCTAGAGCTTTAACTTGCTTTCCAAATGTGACTGCACTAAGGAACCCCCTCCCCACGTACCATACACTGGGGTGGATTTTCTCAGGCGCAGTCAACTCTCTGGGTCATCCCCAATTCCTCGTCAGGAATCCCAAGAGAACGGCCAAAGAACATTGGTGTCCTTTGTACAACCAGTCTCCACCGATACTATCTTGGGGGTATTTTTAGCAAATACAGTAGAGAAAATGCCGTGCCTTCCATGCCTGTGCTGTTGACAGGAGAAAATTCCTGTGCCTTTAAATTTCCAGCCAGATCTTCATTCATGGCAGAGCCAAAGAATCGGGCTTGCAGAGCATTTCTAGAAGTCATTCCCAGAGCTTTGTGTACATTTGTTGCCACAAACTACAGACTAACTTTTGTCCAAGAAAACCAACACAATACTCGCTGTCCTCACCCTGGCAGACACTAGACCATGGGACTGCTGGCTTTGTTGGCTGCATCAGACACAGAGTAACAAAGCCTAATTTGAAAAACTTTTCTGCTAGAGGAAGTGCCTTGGAGTTGTGGCGTGGTTTGTAACAGGACCGAGACAAGGGAATAAAGCATTGTGAATGTGAGGGGCTTTGCTAAATGGATTTTGCAGTTTTATACCATTTGGCTCCACTAAAGAATAAAATCCCAGCCTGCTCTCCTAAGAAGTGTTTACATTTTCCCCTGTAACTGGGCAACACAATTTCGTTTTAATATGCAGAGCATATCACAACATGCTCTTTAATGACCGCTTCCATGAGCAGCCAAACTTCTATAAGTGCATTTGACCAGGGTCTGTCTTATTTGTCCTGGGGATAATTATTCTGAGCTTTTTCACCCTCAAAGCTCTTTACGGATATTTAAGTGATCAGAGTTCCCAGTGCATGGTGTCACAGTCCTCACTGTAAGGAAACTGAGGCACAGAGTAGTTGGGTTACTTGACTGAGGTCACCGAAGGAATCAGCCAGTACTCTAAGAAGTTGCCTGTAATTAAGATGGGGGATCCTTTCCCCTGCAAAGCTCACTTTTGCCCAGCTACAAGGATTTCATTCCTTCCTCTTGTGTATTGCAGTTACTTCATCTTCTGGCTCTGCGTGCTTATATAGTGCATGAATTACTGAGCTAACAGAGTTGCTAAGTGGTTTTGCGATAAACAGGATGTGACCGTTCTAACAGAGCTTAGGAGGTTATTTTGGTTTGCATACATCCTTCCTCCTCGAAACACCTTTCTTCGGATGACATCACCTCTTCCAAAGAAAAGCCAGTAGGGAACACAAAGCATTTCCCTCATTTGGATCCCAGGGTTTCTGTCTCTGAAGTATAGCACCAAGATGGTATTGTTGCTCTACCATTTCATGGTAAACAGGATATGACCAAGTTACATCCTTCTGCCTGCACTGGACTATCTATTGCTCCAGTTCACAAAGCCAAGAAGCACACGAATCCAAGATACAAACTGAGACAAACTCTCCTCCTAGTCACAGTTTTGAGCAATTCTAGGGGAAGATACCTGAGCACACCTATTGTGACACTTACTATTTCACCACTGCCTTTTTGGTCACATCATGGCCACTCAGGATTCACAGTAATGGCGGGGACAAAAGCAGAAGATGCTGCTACTCTTGAGCTAAAGATGACTCCCTACTGGCTGTATAGGACCTATGATAACATGCACAGCTGAAAAGATTTGATTCCCGTCAGAAGAGGACAGAGGCACACACGTGTGCACCCTCTACCAGGGCCCCCACAATATACATTTATATGAATTTTGTTTAGGAGATAGAAGAGGCAGCACTTCCCTGTCTTGTATGAACTGATCTGAACTCAAGGTGAACAATGCTGATTAACTCTAGGCACAGTTTCTTTAAAATTTTTCACTAAGGCTTATTTCTGCAAGGGCCTTAGTCTTTTATTAGCAGCCTTGAAATTCCGGCTGCTCATCAGCTTCACAAATTGTACACTTAAATGAAGCACAATTATGTTGCAAACTAGACAGTGGGGCCAAAGAGCTCATATGAACTTAAGTAATCTATACTCTTAACTAATATATAGATAATGAGGGTTGGTGATAAATGTAAGCAACATGCCAAAAATTGGGACTGGCATCTTGTTATGCAGGTAAGCAAGTTATGCACTTACCCATACACTGAATGCTATCGCTCACAAATGGTGCACAAAGGCTTAGTCCAAGACAACACTTAAGAGGAAGAGATGATTTTAAAATAGAGTGGGAGATAAAAGAAGAGTTCTAATCTCATCCAACACCTCCAAATATTCCATGGTGCAAAGTCAGCTCTTCTTTATCTCAGACTTAAAAAGAAGCATAAACAGCTAAATGATTTACCACAAAGTTTCCATTATAACTTTTTCATCACCGACTACTCTGAATGAGAGGCGAGAATGCAGGATGTCGGGTTCGGAAGGAAGTCTGTTAGAAACAGAAGGAGGAAGGGGAGCGGTGAGGCAATTCTCAGGAAAACCATGAAATGAACTGATTTTTGTTTCCTGCATTTGTGACCTTAAGAATAGTGCTCAAGCAACCTGAAATGCCAGGGTTTATTTTTTTAGTCATAATCAGGCTGCTGGTGAAAAAAAAAAAACCACATGCTTTTGCTTCAAGGAGGCTGCTTCTTCCTCTACTGCAGTCAGTTTGCAAGCATGGTAGTGGAAAGGGAGGTTAGCCCCCCTCTCATGCATCATATCAGAGTGGATTACAACTGCTGGCTTCTAACATGCCTGGAGTCCTGGGAAAATGACATAGCTAGCATCAG